TACCACTGAAAAAGAAAAAGAAATGTAAAAAGTAACATTTAATAACGAAGCAGGGAAAAGGGAAACTGGGAAGGGATGAAAGAAGGAAAGAGGGTGTCAAAGAAAGGATGTACAGTCATTCAGGTCAGATACTGCCAACGACATATTAAGTAGGGAAAAAAGCAGATTGCAAAATGGATTCTGGCTTATCTGCAAGTTTGGGTGTTGCTAAAATTATCTTCGCGTAGTTACTTTCTAGTTTAATTTATAATTACCCACCAGGTTCTCCCTTTTTTGCTTCCTGTCTCCTCTTATTAGCTCACTTATACAAAATCACACTAGCCAATTAATTCATCTTGGGCTGAATATTTATGCATGACTTGGCAAAGTATACATAATTCCTGCTATTTAATTTTATTTCCATTTTATTTTAAAATCTGAATAATAGGAAATCAGTTATTATGAAACACTTCAGAGATTAAGAGGCCCTAAACAGGGAAAATATTCATTTGAACAGAAATAATTGGTTACTTCTTATGCAATAATTTCTTGGCTGTAAAAAAAGAAAAAGTGTTTTTATCCAGAACAGTATTCATAACATAGGTTAATGGCCATAGATCAAGTTTCTGGAAAGTGCTAAGAACTATTTTCAATACTTTTTTCTTCAGTTCCTCAGGGTAGGGTCTCAGTCTTATTTATCTAGAACTAGACAGTGCCTGCCAGGAAGGAAGTACTCAGTAACTGTTTGCTCAAGTACAATCTAATTACTGAGCACTCACAATGACCCATTTTTCAAGTTAAGGCACTATATTTCAAATGGATAAATCTTATTTTAGTTCCCGGAACTCTCAGAGATTCTCATTCACCCTTGCCCAATGCTGGGCAGGAAAACAGAATGGCCCAATTACACCCCTCTTCAGGGGCAGGGAGTGGGATCGTTATTTTCTTTTATTTTAGATAGATTCTAGCATAGGCTTGTGCAGAGTGAAGGTGCAAAAATAAATGCTCATCAATGTCAACAATCTTATAGCTTATAATAGCCAATCAAGATAGGATTATTTTCCAGATAAACTGTTCCTTTCAAGGCAATAGTGCTGGGTTTTTTTTTTTTTTTTTCATTTTTTCTTTTTTTAAGATTTATTTATTTGTACATACAGAACTGGGGTACAGGCCAGAGATGCAGGGGTGGTGAGAGGATTCACCAGAGACAGAGTGGGGAGCACAACAGGCAGATCAATGAAGTATACTGCTGAGGGGAGCAGAGGGCAGGTCAGGAGAGGTCTGCTGCACCATATGGATCACCTCTGGGGTAGGGATCAAACTCATGCTGAAGTGGCTTTAGCTTCTTAGTGCTGTGCTTTAACCCACTGCGCCACCAGGAAGAGCCCGCAATAGTGCTGTTTTTATAAATACAAAATTATGGGTTGATAACTGGCTTAAAATTTTAGTGAAATTCTTTGCAAAAAGTATTATGATTTAGAAAAGGAAAAAGCTTTAAGTTATTGATTCTCTAAGTTATTTGTTTATAACCTCTTTCAGGATAGCGTACAGACTCCTGTCTAATGGTCCTATATTTGACCAATGGTCCTCAAGGTGAAGTGATTGTTGTCCCTCAGAAGATCTGGACACACTTTTGGTTGTCATATATGGGGAGCTGTTACTGGAATCAAGTATGGAGACGTCATAGATGCTGATAGATATCCTAAAACACATAGGACACCCTTCAAAGAACTATGCATCTCAAAATATAGAGAGTGCCAAGATTGAAAAATCCTTGACTAGATGATAAAATGAGATACTGTTATTCACTGTTCACATACTGAAATTTGTATCAGGAGTGAAGCAGACATACCCTAGATATTCCAGGCTGGTTTCAGGCCAATTCTTAACACTTGGCTAACCTCCCAAGCACAGCAATGTCATCTTCAGCAGATTCAAGAGAAGTGCATGACTCCGCAAGTGGCAATGGAGATGACAGTGTTCTCAATTGATATCACTTGATTGATCCTCAGCAAATGTGAGTATGTCTCAAGGAGCAATGCAAGAAACTATAAACCTTCTGAGACCAAGATTTCTACCCAATAAAACTACTATGTACACAGGCAGTTTTGAGCTACGTCACATCTCTAATTTCTAGTATCTACTTTTTTCTTTAAAGATTCATTTATTTATGCATATAAGAACTGGGGCACAGACCAGAGGTGCAGGGGTGGTGAGAGAATTCACTAGAGACAGAGTGGGGAGCAGAACAGGCAGACTGATTGAAATACACTGCTGAGGGGGGCAGTGGCAAGTCAAGAGAGACCTGCTGTGCCATGTGGGTCACCTTCCTAGACAGGGATCAAACTTGTGTTGCAGTGGCTGTGGATAGCTTCTTAGTGCTGTGCTTTAACTCACTGTGCTACCAGAGAGGGCCCTCTAGTATCTTTTTTTTTTTTTTAAAGATTTATTTATTTATTCATATAGAACTGGGGTACAGGCCAGAGATGCGGAGGGTGAGAGGATTCACCAGAGACAGAGTGGGGAGTAGAACAGGCAGATCGACGAAGTACACTGCTGAGGGGAGCAGCGGGCGGGTCAGGAGAGGTCTGCCACGCCATGTGGATCTCCTCCGGGGCAAGTGGGAATCGAACTCATGTGGAAGTGGTTTAAGCTTCTTAGTGCAGTCCTTTAACCCGCTGCGCCACCAGGGAAGGCCACCTCTAGTATCTTTTTAATAACAAGGTTGCAATGGCAGAAAACCACCAAGAACAAAAGAAATAGTGACTATAGAAGGTTCCTATTGTTGCTTGCAATGGTCACTTTCTTACTTGTTAGACTATTTGTTCAATGATGGTGTTAAGGAAGCCACACAGGAGACCATTCATGATGAAGGAGTATTTCAATTGAGTTGATTAGTACTAACCACAAAAATATGGGAAAAACCAAACATTTAAAAAATAACAAAACACATTTGCAAAGTAATATCAAAATATTATTCTTCTGTGATATGGAGCTTTGGTACATTGCATGAATCAGAACCTGCCCATGAGAATAAACTATCACATCACATAGATCTATGGATTGACACTAATACAGAAGCCACTGCTAGGTGATTCCTTCACTCTGCTGTTGAAACCCAAGCATGCAAAGATCCATTAAACAGAAAGGCAAGTAGAAATGCTCTGTTGACATAGTCAGGGAATACAGAAATGATTAACAGAGTCAGAAAAGCATTCCCTGCCACCTTTTGGTTCCTTACAGACTTCCTTGAGCCTAAACTCCTGAAGAACTAATTGAAAAAAAAAACTGAATTTTACTTATTTCTTACTGTGCACTTGGAGGGCCAGGTGGGAACTACAGGACTTCTCCATCTTTCCCAATTTGAAACTGAATTGCGGTTTTCTTTAAGGAAAACCAAACAGGAATAATCAACACAATTTCCTGACATCGATAACACCAAAAACTATCATTAACATAGTGAAATATAATAATTCTGAGAAAACCATTGGTTAATGAATAATTAGTTCAAGAAAGAAAACTAACCACAGACAAATAGGTCACAAACCCTATACAATATAATGGAATTCAACAAGTGACCTACTTTTAAAAGCTCACATAATCACTTGCATAAAAGGTCAAAGAGATACAATTTCAGCACTACATTATTTTTTTCCCTCTGGGTTAAAGAAACAATGGTAAAATAACTTCACAGGGTGTTACAATAATTATTATGGGAGAGTCCTTGGAGCAACCACCTCATTAAAGATAATAAAGTTGTAGGGAAAAAAAAAAAACTACCTTGTAAACTATATATTTTTCTCCCAAGAAAAATGGTCACTTTTCTTATAAACCCCAAAAGTCCAGACAACCCACAATGTGGCTGAAAGTTTCAGTGTTTTGTTTTCTTGGGCCATAAGGTCAGAAATTAGCCTCAATTTCTAAAATACTGTGAGCTGAGAAATTCTGATTTTAGAATTCTGATTTTAACAGGGTTTTAGAAATCTAACTCGACCCCTGTTGAAACATTTTTAAATAATAAAAGACATTTCCTTTCATCTCCCCAGGATCCTTAAAGTTTAATGAGATATTGCAAGGCTGCAGACATTGGAGATGAGTATATTACACAAACACAAAACAAATATGTTTAATGTGGCTAAGAGGGGGAAAGTGGATATAAGCAAATTCATCCATTAAAACCCTGTCAGTTATTTTTCACATTAAATTATAATACATTAAAATGAGACAAGTAGCTTGATGGGAATTATTTTGGGTACCCATCATCAGAAAGTATGCTCTTGTTTGAATTTTAATTTCGCTCTAGTTATGCTTATAGAAACTCAGTGAACCTTCATTCTTGGTAGGGGTGATAGCCAAAAGGTTTGTCCATGTTAAGTCACAGAAGGCCAACCTCTGAGGTCAAGACAGTCTTTGGCTCCCCCAGAATTTAGCAGCAATTTCAAAATCACAGTCATGCCCTCTATTGCACTTAGAGGGTTCTGGATCTACTCCACAGTGTTCCTTTATTTTCATAAAAGAGCACCTCCAATTACAGGCACTTGAGAATATCTAAATCATCCTTCATTTAAAATTCAACTGGGTAGAAGGTGATGAAAGTGGTTAGCACACATTCCATTCCATCCAATCTGCTAATATGAAAGTGCCTTAAGTACTACTCAAGTCATTAAATAATTCTAAAATACTATCCTTCTAGAAAAGGTACAATTAAGAGAATCTTTTATTCAAGAATAAAAGTATTTAAAAATGAAAACTTAGTAGATTTTCATTGACCACTTTTCATGACCCAGTGAATGTTCATGGAAAGCTAAATGTGAGGTGTATAAGCTTCTCCCTGCAGTGCGTGTCATATATATGAAGTTCTACCGTTGTCAATCCTTAGCATCTACCTCTCTGAATTTTCATGAATATCTATTTTCACAGGGTAACTATTTTATATAGACGGGCAGTAGCATACAATAAAAAACTTAGTGTAGAAAAAAAAAATCTCATGGGCAGCTGCTTCCATGTGAGCCCACACTCACCTCTCCCGAGGGACAGCAAACCAGTACTCTGGCTGCTTTCTTCGTCTGCTATACTGCTGCACCATGGCTGCCGTGTGAGTGGCGAAGGATTTTCGCATGGGTTTTCCCACTTTAATGCACAGAAACATGGGTGGAGTCTTGCTTTTCTCCTCTTTTGAAGGAAGTATATCTGAGTCACACATGAAAAAATTCCTCAACATTGACAACAATGGTGATAGCAAAACCTTTCTACTTACAAAGAATAGTGTTCAACCCCAGCTTAGCAATGAGAGGTCGAATCATCACCGAAACATTGAACTAATTCAAATTTTCAGATCTGTAGTACATAAGGGAAACGTTTTGGATGTTTCAGGTTGGTCTACATCATTTGAAACGAGCCACAGGGTAAGTAAACAGAACCAAAAATAAATAAATAAACAAACAGGAACTATTGTAAATAGTGAAGCGTTGTGACAGTTCATAAGTCTACAGATTAATGGGTGATAATGAGGATGTGGTGACACCATAATGCAATGCAGTTTAGAAATGAAATATCTCCAAAAATACTTTAGATTTAGAAATTCAAGATAAAAAAAACTAAAAAATTTATTTTTAAATTTTAATTGTTTAAACATACTTGCTTTTTTAGAGACTTTCTCACCTTAAGTGCAGTCAGCATAATTTCTCACCACCAAAGTGGCCACAGTCCTCCACCACACACCATTGTTTCAAAAAATCGTTCAAATGACTTTTGAAATAGAAATACATGTCATAGTTCAAATTCCAAAGTTGTTAATGTTAATGTATCAGTAAATATATGCTCAAATATATACTACTTTTGCTGTTGCATGTGCAAGTTTTAGAAATGAAATTATATAATTACATATGTAATATAAAAGCATTAAAGAAATGTGGCTTACCTTCAATGGGTACCTGAATTCTCTTTAAAAGCCATAATTGAATTTCTGATTTATCATCCATTTGTATGCTTTGGCAGTTGTTGTCCACAGCAGAATCCAAAGTGGAGTCTAGGGAGTCTTTCCTCAAATTTTCTTCTGTGGAAGAGGCAAGTTGCAGTGCAAGGGGCTCTCTCTCTTTCATGCAGGTTATGCCTTGCTCTTTATTGCCCTCATTTGGGGGATCTCCTGCCCGGGGAAGAGAACTACTAAGTGTGATGTCTATTCCCACTGATTCAAGGCATTTGCCATCACTTATTTCTGCCTTCTGCAAGTTCTCAGATAACTGTGACCCTTCTTTGTTCTTATTAAGGTAATATTCAATGAGTTTGACTTTATCTAGATCTTCCTGTATGTTCAGTGCATTCTCTACCTGGCTTTCTGGGGAACCAGACTGCTTGTCCATCTCGGGCATTATATCTTGTTTCTCACAGGCTTCTAAATCTAGGACCCCCTTCAGTTCAGCATCACTCTCTGTTCCTGAAAAGTTCAGAGCTGACTGCACTTGCATTTCTGAATTAGAACTGATTATTTGGGACTTAGCCTTCCTTAGCTTCTCTGGGTCAAGAGAAAGGCACTCTTTTGAGGCATCTCTTTTATCCATTCCACTATTGGTTTGAGAGGAAAGTTCTTCCAAGTCAACAAAGCCATCATCTTCCCCTAAAAGGGAGTTTTCTTTGGCTATAGAGTCCGGTGCACCCTGAGCGTCAGAAAGTTCCTTGCTGGCCTTAGCCACCGTGGTGGGTACACTGGTGGTCTCCACAGAGGACTCCTGCTTCTTTAACTTTTCTGACAGAGGGCTCTCTGAGCCCTTTGTGGGTGTGCTGCATTCTGCCGACTTTTCCAAAGATCTTGTCGATTTGGAATCTGAGGTGACTATTTTCTCCCCATTCTGCTGCCGTTTTTCCTTGTTGAGAGATTTGAATTTACTGAATGGGTTGATATCCTTTTCTGAAGCCAGGTCTTCCCATTCTCCAGGCCTGTACAGAGGACAAAGATCCTGAGGTAGGTCACTGTTGGGGGAGAAATGGTGGGTGCACATGGAATGTTAAAAACAAAACCAAAAACGAAATGGAGGAAAGGCAAAACTAAAACAAAATCCAACCAAAAACTAAAACATAAATAAATTATAACTTAAACATGTTTAAGTGACTTTAGCATAAAGTCATGAAATCAACAAATTGACTTTTAAACAAAACATAAATCAACTATAAGAAGTGGCAAAACAAAGGACCACGAGAGTCTTCTACTAGACGTAATGATGGCATTTGAAGTCATTTATGAGAACGGCAATGTCACCAACCAGATTTTTATATGATGAAATCATGTTCTGGTTTGCATGAAGGACAAAGGAAATGTTTTAGTACTGTAACTAAAAAATTTTTCAAAGCTTTCCCTATTTATAAAACTATATTTAAACCAATTACATTTATTCTAAAATTCTCATTGAATTAGTAGCTACTCATTTAACTGTTCTATCAAGTGACTGATCCCAAACCATAATTTTGGATTTAGCTTAAGATCTGATTCTACCAATAACCAACATCCTCTAACTTCTAAACTGATATAAGATCCACCATTGCTACGCTCTACACTTTAAATATTATGGAAAAGTAAATCAAATAAGTTCTTATAATACTCAGTTTAAACTTTTAATTTTTTCATTCTTTTAACAATATCATTTTACTTTATCAGCTGAATCATACTGTTCTGGATCTAGATTATTCCTGCATAACAGACCTTTGACATCTAGATTAGAATACTCAAAACATCTTTATTGAATATGGTCTCCAAAGTTAAAAATATATGGTCAAGAAACACACTTTGTAAACAATGCTTGAAAATGCCCTTAGAAACCCATATTTTCACTTGCCTTCATATTTTTATGTCTATAAAAATAGACATAAAACCTCACTAAAAATAACATTTTCAAACTCACAAAATATGTTTATGTTCTAAAAAGGTTTGATTGTATTCAGCTAACATTTTATTATTTTTTAGCTTTGAAATAAATAATGATGACAATAAAGCAACAAAAAACCAGGAAGTTCTCAAGTTACAAGACCTTTGCCCAGTAGTATTCCATAAATCACTTACATGGCACATCCATACTTTTCCCAATATAATATAAAAGCCTACATAATTGTTAGGCTTTGACAGAGTTTTAAAAGGCCTCTGATTCATAATTCACTTCAAGTCAATAGCCTTCAAAGAGCCCTAAATGCCACATGATACAAGATGATTGTGACCATGTCTGCTCTGCAGGAACTTGCAAACACAAAACCCTTCTGCCCAACACTGGCATCCAGGAGATGTAAAGAGGCTTCAATCACCAAGTCAAATGAGTTAGTGTAGAATGACATAGTTTATATTTTGAGGCTCAAAATATAATTCAGCATATTAAAGATTATAATAAGCCTGTAACAAAGAAACCCATTTCTTCACATATTTGTTTAATCAGCAGATATTTCCAGTAATAGCCACACAATTTCTCATCTCTTTTCTCTACCTAGTGTGACTCCTACAAAGAGTACATTTGGGCCCTCCCTGGTGGCGCAGCGGGTTAAAGCACAGCACTGAGAATCTGAAGCCACTTCCGCATGAGTTCGATTCCCGCCTGCCGCCTGCCCCGGAGGAGACCACATGGCGAGCCAGACCTCTCCTGACCCGCCCGCTGCTCCCCTCAGCAGTGTACTTCGTCGATCTGCCTGTTCTGCTCCCCACTCTGTCTCTGGTGAAGCCTCTCACCGCCCCTGAGCCTCTGGCCTGTACCCCAGTTCTGTATGCACAAATAAATAAATAAATCTTTAAAAAAAAAAAAAAAAGAGTACATTTGACTGCACTCTAACCAGACTCCTAAATTACCTTATCTACGCCTCTCCTTTCTTGTTCTTCTACCTAATCAAGCTGGGTTTAATTTAAGGCATCTGTTTTTCCTATCTTACATTTTTAAAAAAGATTTATTTATCTATGCATACAAGAACTGGGATACAGGCCAGAGGTGTAAGGGTGAGAGGATTTACCAGAGACAGAGTGGGGAGCAGAACAGGCAGACTGACAAAGTACCCTGCTGAGGGGAGCAGTGGGTGAGTCAGGAGAGGTCTGTTGCACTATGTGGGACACTTCCCTGGCCGGGGATCAAACTATTGCTGCAGTGGCTGCAGATAGCTTCACAGTGCTGCACTTTAACCCATTGTGCCACCAGAGAGTCCTGCCATCTGCTTTTCTCTGCATTGCATTTGGCAAATATTACAAGGGCAAAGTATCAACTGATTCAGCCATTAATGTTTCCTATACTCTGCAGGTACCTAAACATATTCAGTAATTCCTTCAGTTGTTCCCTTCCTATCCTCTGTGACAGTGACATTTCAAAATGTCTTATACCGTAAAAGCAGATGATGATGAAGTAGAAAATGGAGACATTGTACACACATACACACACACACTTAAAAAAAAAAAGCTATACATTCCAGCTAGGTAATTTGTACTTCCTGCTTTACAGCTTTTATTAGTAATGAAATTTTAAGCAACTTTATAAACAATTGATGGAATTCTAAAGTCAATCTTAAATTCATTTCATACTGATTCCACCCATACATTCTAATTGGAGCACATATAATTCATGAGGCTGAAAAATCTTTATATACCCACTTGTTAGGCAGGATTCAGTGAACAATTCTGAAATGATTTCAACACACTGCAGTCAATTCTTAACTCGTCTCTATCCCTATTAAGGAGTTAACTCTGCAACCTGGGTCAGTAAACACAATCTCACATCTCACATTGGGAGAAATATTTCTGTGATGATGTACCTTTCCATCTGCATTAAAAAGAATCATCCTAAGTTGGAGATATGCAACAGTACTCCTAAAGTACTCCAGTACACCACTGACATCATCACGAGGCAAGAAATGCCCCATAAGCCTGGCTATTCACTTCTAAACTTGGCTATATCTTTACCCACTCTTACCTCCTTTCCTCTTGTCACAGAGAACCCGATGTCATTCCTTCCTTCCAAAATTAACTCTTTCACATTCTCTTTGTCCTCTCATCTAAGACTCAAAAGCCATTGGCCACTCCCAAAGATGGTCTTTCACAGGGAGCATTCTATGTTCCCAGAGCATTTCATCACCAGTTCTGTCCATCTGTCTGTCCAGTTCCTCAAGGCCAAGGGCCATGACCCACTCATCTCCATATCCTCATCATGCAAGAAGCATGAATTAAGATACTGTAGAAGCCTCAGTTTTCTTGGATAAGTTTCCCAGAAGTTTCATGTATGAATTAAGGTTCAACTAATTACAGCCTACAAATTATTAGGCTCCAGGCTATTTCTAATATTTCAATAAGCAGATACCTCAGTGCTTTAGTTCTTACAACAGCTTAGAGTTGAAAAACACTACCTATTCCATTTTTTACAGTTGAGAAAACTAAGGTTCGAGATTGACTAACTCATGAGGACACAGAGCCAGTAAGTGGCAGAACCCAGGTAACCCAGGCAGCATGGCTCCATGGGTTGCCAGTGGGCCTCCAAGGCCACCACCCAGCCTCAGAAACCCCCCAACTGATCATGTGGTGGTAAATTTAGAAACTACCTAAATCCCTGTGTTTGGGAGGTGACATCGGTGGCTGCAGCTGATCTGAGTGGATGAGATGGGAAAGGCTAGAGAAATCCCAGGAAACCGTAGGTATGAACCCTGAAGGGCTCCATGTTTGGTTTAGTTTTGTAGTTACTGTTGGTTTTTCTTCTGCATTGCAAGGGTTAGTTTCTCTGTGTACTGTTGAGCCCCATATCTTTGCCTCTCTCTTCCTATAATTGAGGGTTTCTAAAGATTTTTGCTGCTAGCATACAGAGAAACAGACACATTGGCAAAATGACAGAACCAGATAATAAGGAAATCAATTTGTTGAATGATCTGAAAACCCTCTTTCTCCCTGGGTAGCTTCCCTGTCGATCAAATGAGTGAATGAATGAATGAATCCCTCAGCTTTATAAGTTAGAAGTCACCAAGACTAAGATAACACTCATATGTACGTCAGAGACAAAACAAACCCAGATCAATTCCTCTCATACAACTGAGGTAGCCTAATATAGGGTCGGTGAACACTCACTCAACTCTCTTCACGCAAGATTCAAGAAGACAGCCCATCCTGGAGTTTGAATGAAAAAGAACCAAACTCTGCATAAACATTAAACCAAGGAGAAAACACTAAAACCCTGTCTGAGAAACTTCACTTGTTCTTTCACAAATTCACTAAGAACACACATTACTTTTCATAAAAATAATGCAAACAAATTTTTATGTGCTGGCTTTTTTTCATTTTTTGCTGGTAGGTTGAGCTTCTTCCCTATTGTAAATGTTATTGTTTCTATCCTCTTATTTTTCTATTTTTGTCCATTTATCTATGCATATCTTCCACTTCAAATTTACCTACATGCTGCTCACTGTTCCAAATGCCCTCCCTTCTCAGCTATGTTTCATTCTCCCCATACCCCTTTTATTCTGGCAAATAAAGAAATGTCTCTTACGATGGCAAGGCATCTTTGATCTTCATGTGGGAAATGTCATTGTACAGGGCAATGGAAACCACCTCCTCCATGGGGCAGATGAGCCCGTACTCCTCACACCCATTTTCAATGACCAAGGGATCAGACTTGTGAGGGTCGAACATGATGTTGTTAGGAGTGACAATCATGACGCCTCCGACCACGCCCTGAGGAGAGAGGACAGCGGGGTCACCATGGGAGGGAAGGCACGTAGCACAGCAGCTTGGTGGATTCTTGCTGCCATTCATTCCCCTGACTTTGTAAATGACATTCCCTTGGAAGAGGACTGGAAAAACGGTTGAAGAAATACCACGCTGGATGCTATGTGATGAGGCAGAGAAGACAGACAGGACTCGCTGTGGACAGCGAAAGGCCTGGCTCTAGCACAGCCTCTGAACAGTACACAGTTGTGATTGGACACTGGGTCACACAAGTTTGTCTCAGATTCTCCAGTTCCCTGTCCGTGCAACCCAAGGGGCTGTCCCAAGCACTTACCTGACTGAAAACTGGGTGATGTACAAGTAACTCAGTATACATTCACCACGTGTCCCAAGAGGACATGAGGGTGCAGTTGTCACCAAGCCATCAAAATGGCCCTGCTATTTTTCTTTCAAATGTTTAGAAAATCCACATCCCAAAAAATTTAGAGCAAATAGGAATATTAAACTTTTGCAGCCAGGAGGGATTGTAGTTGGATTATGGAGTGTCAAAGCAAAACCACAGTAGCCTGGTAGAGACTTATGTTTGAAGTGTGGTCAGTTACATTGATGGCCAAAGGACTGTTATCTATCAGAGGCAGCAGCATACAGAAGGTTCTCTTCGGTAATAATTTGGCACTCAATGAATTTAAAGGTGACTTGCAGAGTTTTTTTATTTATGGCATTACTTAATCTTGGCTGCAAGTTATACATGCATATCAATAATTTATGGATATTTGGAAACTGGTATAAAGTCTCTATCGGCACAGGAATTCACTTTATATCAACATATACCCTTCTTCAGAGCTCACTAAAAGTTGAATTTGTTCTTTGGGAAAAACACTGACAAACAAAAAAAACTAAAAACATGACAGTAGATATTTGCAATACCGTCATCTCTACCAGTAAACAGGTTGAGAACATCACATTTTCTGGATTTTGGTGCTAAGCTCTTTACATGAATTTTCTATTTTAATCACCATACCTACTAGTTAAATTTATTATTGTCCCTATGTTAGAGAGGAAAATAGAAGTTTAGAGAATGTAAATGTATTGCCTATAATTCAGAGTTAGTGGATAACAGAGCTGAAACTTAAATTTAGCAAGTCTAATTCCAATATTGGCTATTAAACACTATACTGTACCCCAAAAATTTATAGCCCAAAAACTAAAAGATAAAACTGATAAATCCAAGATCACAAAAAATAATATTTCCACCTAATGATGAGACTTTCTTTTGTTACAGAAGGAAGTGTATGATGCCACTCATCCAAGAGAAGAAAATTAGTAGACACTTGTCAAATCTTAAGTCAGTAAGGTAGTTTAACATAACCTGCCTTCAGTACTTTGGAGCTTACTCTACTTTGCCCAAGATTCCACAAACAGAAAACAAATGGCTTGATCTTATACCTTTCCATCAGTGAAGTAGCGGCAATTCATTTTTAAGAATTTTACCACGCCTGGCTCATCTTCTTCAGAAGTAGACGATAAGACTCTTTCAATGGGTTTTAAGGCCTTTCTTGCTAAATCAGCATCCTTTAAAAAGCAAAAATTTTCAAAATCAAATAAAAGTACTTTTTTAAATCTGACTATTTCTATATCAGGCATAAATTTTCTGTTAAATAATTTATTTCTTGAGCATAGAAAGAGACAAATGTCCATTACCCTTCAGAAAATATCACAACTATAACAATAAGGAATAAAGTAAAAGTCAGGTAAACAAACAAACATCTATGGATTTGTATGGATCCATAACAATCACTCAACATACGTCTTTGGAAAATAACCTAACTAGGAGAATTTCTATTTGCTTCTTACTTCAAAGTCTCTAGAAAAAGTAGTATAATAACTACCAGTCTCGCTGGGAATTGAACTTTATGTTTTTACAAGGTGTGCATTTTTGCCTTTAAGACTTTTTTTATTTCTTTTTTTTTTTAATGAGATAACATAGGTTTAGCATACTGTATGGGATTTGGAAATATAGTATGACACCTCTTCAGATGTATGTTGCCTCTGAGACTTTAAATGTGAACAGATTTCTTTTGGATGCATCCTACAACTAATAACAGATCACTTCAGCTCTTCAGGGGAAATTTCAGATGAAATCGTGTGGAAAAAAAGGATGTGATATACTACAACTCATAAACCTTTTTGATAAATACACACATCAGTGCATGAGTGACATACATACAGGCAGTTTGTCATATTCTGCATCTGATGATGAAGGAGAGATGGTAGCACCAGGACTGGAAGATGATAACCTTAAGGTACTGGAAGGAAAGTTGGCATCTGGAACGAAAAGGACCTGAGGATGGAAAAGCGCTGGGTGAGTAATCCCTGAAGCCATACTGAGGAGCAGGAATGTGTACAATGGGAAGGCTATGGGTCATGGGAGGCGGTTTAGGTGTTCCTTCTGACTTGAGATAGGAATTTGGGTCTCTTCCAAAACATGGGTATAAAAGGGGTACTTGAAGTTATGTTCTCTTTACCACAGAACAAAACTCTCATTATTTTAGCCTAGAATATTTTTCTAAGAATGTGTAGCCAAGGTGCCCATGCATATAAAAAACCCCTGAAATTATATATCTACACGGTAACTTTTGAAGGTGCTTAAGATAAATTTGAAAAAGGACATTTTTATACAAGTTTTATATAAGTATAAAAGAGTCTCATGTTTCAGGTTTTTCATAGTTTGTCTGAATTTTTTTTTTCTTTTTACGTCTTCTGAAACAACACTAAGCTTGGAGTAAGATTTGAGTTCAATAAACTCTCAAGCAACCTCTGAGATGTCATCTCCCACATGTGGCCACTCGCCTGACCAGACCAGCTTTCTTTCCTATCTCAAGGTGGCCATCAAATCAATGTGTACAAAGGTAGTCTCAAATTTTTTGGAGCCAGGGCAGATAAAACCAGTTTTGATTTATCATAACTGAGTGGGACACCCCTCTCGGAAACCAGGACAAAGTACTTAAAAACCATTGAAATCAAAAGGGCTTTCATTGTCACGGTTCTTGATTCCTTACCTTTATCAGCAACATCACAAGTAAGTCAGGTCTAAGACAACTAACAGCACATAACATTTTAGTTACGTAAGGGCTGGACAGCAGATCAAGGTCTAGAAGGGACATCAAATATAAGGCAGCCCAATGGAATTTTTCCCATTATAGTGGGCATATTAAAATAGTCCTTATATCTCCATAGCTACCAGATCTTCATCCAATACCAATATTTTGTTTATTGATATAGTAAAAAAATTAATAAGTTAGTATCATCCCAAATTATTACATTCTAGTAACTATAGTCTTCAGCCTTGAGTTAGTAAATCTATGCCTTGGATTTCTGCTATGGTCCAATTGTACATCACAACACTGTCCCAAACTATCAATTTTCTGATGGACAGAATTTATTAATTTCTGAAGACTTGTAATGCCTGTTACACCTCAGGTACCTGGTAATGGCTGCATATAAGTTTGTCCTGTTGATAAGAACCTAAATACCAAAAGCCTAAGGGCACAAAAAATGGCCAACTTATGGGCGGTTGCTTCATGTGTTGCCCATGAAAAAGGCCTCATTGCCTCACCACCATCACCTGGATGAAGTTATACTTAAAAGTAACAATATCTGTCCCCAAATAGTTAAATGCCATTACTATGTACAGATGCTCTAGTAAATCAACTCTGGAACCAAAATGTGTTCAGAGCAACCAAGAAGTACTGTGGGTGAACTAGAGACCTGGACTGAGCCTGAATCTACCAACAACTGGGTCATCTCCATTTGGTGGCTAAATGTAGTTCTAAAGTATAAACATAAATAAGAATGTCTTATCATGAAAGCATATTTTGCTAGATTAATTATATTTTATACAGAAAAATAAAATATCTGCTAGGGTGGCAAAAGTCACATCATGTGTCAATTTAGTTCTACTTAACAAAGTTCTTAAAAAGTGGGGAAAAAATTGTGGCTTTTTCTTCATCCTGAAGGTCACAGCCTATGGCTGGCTGTTTTTGCTATGCTATCAGATCAAGACAAAGTAACAAAAATTCTATCTCCCTTAAAATAAAATGATGGTCATAATATACCTGAGGGTTGAATTTTACTAATTTTACTGAAACGTAAAATTAAAAATCAAACATTTTGAGTTTTGCCATTGGGAGTCCTTCTGCTGCTGGACTATCCCTCTGTGGGTAGTGTCAGCCTGAACAACATTCAACAGTCACTGTCTCTAACGAGAGCAAGCACCAATCAGGATTTTGTGCTGATTAGTTCAGAGACCCCTCTCTTTCCTCCCAGGCAGACTACAGACAGTGACAAAAGGTGTAGAGTCTCTCTTTGTGCATATTGGGTATGTCACAAATTTATTAGGTCAAGAATGCCAAATAAAGGGTTTCAGCCTTCACCTACAGATCATAAAAAATACTGTGAGGATCCACAGCACCCTAATAAAACTGCATATTGTTACTAGAATAGCAAGTACAAAAAGATGTCCATATTAGGGAAAAGATACAATAAAGACACTTGGGCTAGAAAAATACATACTCCTCAAGTTCATGAATATCCCTTCAACGTATGCAGTTAAATTTTTGATATAAGAATCAAGGCCCTGAAAACTGCCACTAAGATTCCCAGTGGAGGAGCCCGTGGTAACGTGCCTGGCAAATCCCAAGAACTGGCAGTGTCAGTGACCACGAAGAAACGAAGTCCTAATGCCAGAGTAGTTTCAGATTAAAATATGAAAATCATTTATATTTAAAGGTGATGAGAAAGTGTTGTCATTAAAAAAGATGTGAGGTAGCGCTCCTGCATGTATGTAGTCACAGGTGTCTCCCAAAGCTTTTCCTCCCCAAAGCAGCTGCCCTCCTATGCAGGCACCTCTCTTTTTTCTTTCTCCTTTTCCTAAGAAATCTGTCCTTTTAATTATATTTTTAAATGATTTTAAATAGTAACAAAACAAACATCCTAAGAGTAGCTGTGTGATATGTTACAGGGGAATGATCTCATGAATTTAACTTCAACGTCAAGGAAACATTCACAGTGTAATCTAATGGCAGGTGAGAAGATTGCTCATCATTTGCAAAGCAATTCTTCTGAACAGCTAATAAGGGCGAGGATATCTTTAGAATGGCTGGATCAAAAAGAAAGGAAAGACTGAATCAATGCACATTATCGCTGATAATCATTCTGTCACACTAACAGTAAACTATTAAAAATAAAGCACAGATGTAAAATTTCTGAAGGAACATGCAATAGGAAATTGATTACCTGGCCTGGAACAATAGTATGGGTGAAAAGTTTATTCAGTTCCACTAATTTATTGGGAGTGATGTTAAACTTCAGTGCTATGGAGTTGAGGGTATCCCGGCTTCCAGCCTAGAATAATCCAACAAAGAGACATTCAATATATAAATAAACAAAACTTCATTTTTGATAGAATATTAATCTGTTCGTGAAATGAGTGAATTAAGAAGAAATAACGCCTCTGGGAGTGAATACATTCTCAGTTCTTAATAAAACCCATACAAGCAAAGGTTTCTCCCATTCCCCTTATCTTCAAATTCTACGCCCTGTTAACAGCTTTCTTAACTTTGGCACAACTTAGCTCAGTAGTGGTCCTTGAGCTAGAACATAAAGCCATAAAGAAACCAAAACAAAAAACTTAGTGCCACCCATAGGGAAAATGGAGCTCTCTTGAAACTTTCTATCTGGCTGGTTCTTACTGCTCTATTGGCTCCTGGAGGGTGGCCCATTAATGGTTATTTTCTATTTCTCAGCACAGAGCCTGCCCCAAGAATACCACAAAAATGTGATGTATAAACCCAGTGAAACACAAGTAAATCTGAAAAAAATTTCAGATCAGCTAAGAATTCTCAGTTATTAAAACAACAACTTCCATAGTCAACAAATTATTTTCTAAATCTATGAAATTTGTGACATATGTCCTTGACATACAATTTTTTTCCTTTTATAAAGGAGAGTAGGACTAGTGAGGCAATCAGACTCCAGAGTAAAGACAACCAGACTCCACACACACAAAGTCCCTCCTGCTAGTAGTCCATTTAGCTCCCAGGGTAGACTTGACATCAGCATTGGGCATTGTAACATTTTAATGAAGGTTGCTCTGGAGAATGTTACTGTGACTCCATTAATAGTCCTGGTCAAGACTAGAAGCTGTCTCCGCAAGCAGAACTGAATCCTCAACGCGGAACTTTAAATTAGGTAGAGGTTTGAGTCGGCCACAGGAGACTGAACACTGGTGGAGACAGATTTATAGAAGTTCGCTCACCACTTGCCCTTAGTATAAAAAACCCTATCAACTAGATGAATTGTTTTAGGCAAATCAAGTTATAGTTACAGTTTACACTTAATTAGACTCAAAGACTTTTCAAAATAAGCTAGGATATGAATACTCATCTTCGTTTTTAAATCATCAAAAGTTTACGAGCCCACCTTTACCCTGAATAAAACTATCTCTACTAAACACTATAAGAACGTTTCAAAGTTTACAAGTATATTTGCCAGTATTAGTTATTTACATTACACATTCATGCCCAGTCAGTACAAAACACAGCTTAAGAATACAGGCGGGACCCTCCCTGGTGGTTCAGCGGGTTAAAGCACAACACTAAGAAGCTAAAGCCACTTCAGCATGAGTTCGATCCTTGCCCCAGAGGTGACCCATATGGCGCAGCAGACCTCTCCTGACCCGCCCACTGCTCCCCTCAGCAGTGTCCTTCATCAGTGAGCCTGTTCTGCTCCCTACTCTGTCTCTGGTGAATCCTCTCACCGCCCCTGCACCTCTGGCCTGTACCCCAGTTCTGTATGCATAAATACATAAATCTTAAAAAAAAATACAGACAATAGCCAGAATTTTAGATTTGAATTCTAAATCTGCCATTTGTTAGCTGTGTGACCTGTGTGATTTGCTTAACTTCTCTGTCTCTCAGTTTCTTCATCCACTGAATAGAGATAATTTTAACTCGTACTTCATAGCATTTGCTTCAACGCAAGTGATCAATAAATTTGCTTCCTATTTTTATGAAAAAGAAACTTAGAGAAGACTCTATGTATGAGACTCAGAGAGGACGACTTGAACAATCTCTAGTCATCACTCCAGCAGACAGACATAGAGAACCAAGCCACAGACCCTGGGAGCGAGGCTGGTATCAGAAAAAACAACAACCACCCAAGCGCAAAAAGCAGAGGAGTAAGCACTAGCATGGTTCTCTAAACAAGAAATGATGAATCCCCTTTTATTTCTAATAGCAACTACACAAAAATAGTTAAGTCAAACTAACTTCCATAGCATATTTACCAAACTGGTGAATATAGACGCATTACTAATTTGACTGTCTGTTACATATGAATTAATCTGGGGGGAATGGGTGGGTGATTTTCACTTTCACTGCATATGTGAAGCATCCTCTAGCAAACACTTTTCATATCTTCGGAAGGGCTTGGATACACACAGGGCTTTAGAATTAATACAGTGACTATTGATAAATAATTTTTATCTAATACTTCTTGAGTGCCTGCTATGAGGTAAGGCACTAAGCCAGCTGTTATGGGAATCAACAACATATTGAACATATGGTAGATAGTGGTAACTGGAGGTATATAATCATTCCAAGTCTTTTCTGGAAAAAAATTGGCTTAAAAGATACAGAAAGGTACCTAGAGGTGTTTACAGAGCACTGTGTATGAAATGCCAGAGCTCTTCACTGGGATTCGACAGAGGCATGAAGGTATTTAGCATTCCCAAAGCAGTAGCAGGAAGGGATCAGGTCTTACTGTTTGCCTTATGAAGAGCCTGGCATGGCATACAAATTATGAGTAAAAAATAAATATACATGAGGAAAACAGACAATGAGAACAACACTTCACTTCTTGGAAGTTAGAATGCTCCTCAACAATGCCCCTTCAGCATGAATTAAAATAGATCAGTGACTGAGTATTCACATTGTACCAGTACAAGATAGATAAGGTTCAGCTCCTGCCTCCAGAAGCTCATGGTGATGCAAGAGTTCAGCACACCACTCGGTAAATGAGTTAATCAGGTTGGACACCACTAGCCTCTGTAGCTACCACCTGTGACCTTGGTCGTGTTCATACCAAAGGCACGTGGGAGAGTGGGCTCCTGGCACAGGTGCCTGATTGTGGATACCTGGAGCAGGGGTGTGCACACCTGAACCTAGAGGCCAGGGATAGAAAGGCAGCATCATTTTAGTCTCTCTCCATGACTACATGAATTAAAACCCAAGACAGATGTTAACATAATGAATCCCATTAATGAGTCAAAATGGAAAACTAAGAAATTACATAAGGAAACATGATTCTACAAGAGTAAAATTAAGGAAACCTACCTAGTGCTGCTGGATGATCACAGAAAGTACGATGAATGTAATGTCAACCAATATAAGGGTCTGGCTGATATAAATGTGTTTGTGAAGAACTATTGCTTCTTGAAAAAAAAAACAGTCAAGTATGGAGGTAGATGTTAAAAAAGCAGCTGAATATATGGTTTTGGAGCTCCATATATGGATGGAGACCTAAAATCAGCAGTCACAGACATATCAAAGGTAACTGAAATCGTGGTTTATATGAGGTTGCCCAGGAAGAAAATACAGAGGGAAGAGAAATGACAGATTACAGATCTTAAGCGGCTTCATTATTCATAGTTACAAAGAAGGAAGCTAAGAGACAAAGTGAGTGAGGAAAAACAGTGTATAAATCTTGTACTAACACACACTCAGAACTCCTATTTATACTTACAGTGTATTCCATGGTACCATGGGGCTTTTGAACCAGCATCTTCTTCTCTTTTTTATCATGTGTTTTGTTTTGATTGTCATCTGAAGAATAAAATGTAATCAAATAATTTCATTTTTAAGAACTGAAAACAAGGTCATCTATAGTATATTCAAACCCACTTTCAAATGACAAAAAAAGAGACACTTTTAGAAAAATAGACTAAAGGTTCAAATTGCCCATTCTTACAAAAACACAATCAATAAACACTTGGATAAATGACCAATATTGACTACAATCAAGTAAACCAATAATAATGAAGTAATGTTTTATAGTTATTAAAATGGTTTAAATGATAATATATAATATTGATATTAGAGTACAATCTTTATAAATGATACACAACATATAATTAGTCAACTGTTTCATAAAGTTCTTTGTCAACATATAATTATAAAAATGTTGAAGACAAGTTCAGTCTTTAACTCAAAAATCATTTTAGAAATTTATCCTAAGGAAAAATTCAAAAGAAAAATTCTGTATGTCACAGCATATGGTTACTGCCGGATTATTTATAATAATGAAAACTTAGACAGTTCTAAATGACAATGTTAAGCTGAGCAATAGATTTTGCTGTTTTTATAGGTCAAAAACAGTCAACCATTGGCAGACGTATGGTATTCAGCATACCTGTTATGGTTAAATAAATCTATCAGCCAAAATTTAAAACCAAAGAGATAAGTTGCAATGGATGAAAATTTAAATGACAAAAGAATATAAAATCAAATTAAGTATGAAAGGATGCTCTAACTTAAATGTAGTCAGAGAAATGCAAATTAAAATAGGGTATAATTTTATACCTATTAACATAACAAATCAGAAAGCCGGGTAATTCTAATGTTGGCAGAGATGTGAAGTGCTACTAGGAATGTGAACTGGTACAGTTATTCCAGACAATTAAGTAAATAGTGATGTAACTCTAGAGTACATTTAACTCAGAGATAAACATCATAAAGTGACCTGCTTGTGATGGCCACCACTGTGTCATCTGTGGCAGTTGGGAGTTAACGGGTAAACAAAATGTGGTAGGTATGCTCTTGAATTCCAGGCAGCAATTAGAAATAACAAGCTGTAAGTATATACACAGCAAGATGATGACATTAAGAGAAGCAGAATCTAATGAAGACAATTACATCATTATGTAAATATAGACTGCATGCACACAGGTGAGGTTAATGGACCTCCATGTTCACTGCAGCATGACTGACAACAGGCAAGTCATGGGAACAACATAAGTGTCCATCAATGGACTGATAAACTGTGATTTTATACACATATACACACACATACCAGAATACTATTCAGTCATTAAAAGAATGAAATCTTACCATTTGCAACAACATGGATGAAACTTGGGGACATTATTCTAAGTGAAATTTGTCAAAGAAATATTGAATGATTTCACTTACATGTGAATACAAAAAAATACAAAAAAAAAAACCCCAACAAGTTCATATAAGCAGTACAAATTGGTAGTTGGTTGTCAGAAGCTGGGGATGAGGGTGCTCAATATGAGTTAAGTAGGTCAAAAGGTATAAACTTCCACTTAGAAAATATGTCATAGGGATTTAATGTACAACATATTGAGTATAGTGAATAATTGCTTATATGCAACTTGATAGGAGACTAGATCTTAGAAATCCTCATAAGAAAAAGACTGTCACTATGTAACAGGTGCTAAATTAACTTATTGTAGTGGTTATTTTGCAATATATACAAGTAGTAAGTCACTGTTATACATGTGTGTAGGCTTAATGACGTTATCAGAGTCTTCCTCTCGTCGCCCTCCAACCATTAGCATCTATGACAGGCACCTGTGGTCTAGCATGAGTCGCTATAATTATGGACATCTGGGCCCAGAGAACATGAGGCATTCACTGTTGAGGGGACATATGGGTGGCATCACTCTGAGGGGGGTCTACAAAGGAGAGAACGCCAGAGAAATACAGAGAAAGAAAGCTGTCCTGTCTCCTGATTCAGCATTAAAGGCCTGTAAAAATCTACCAAAGGCTCCAATATTTTCTTTTCAACTGTGAGAACTGAAGAGGAACTTAGCCTGGAACAGTTGCAAAACAAACTGAAAGTATATAAATTATACATACCTCAAGTCAAAAACAGATGCATACAAAACAACTACATACATTTTTCAAGGCCACGTAAAAATAAAAACTAATATACAAGGAACACAATAGAAAGTTTAGTATGGAGAAATGGAACTAGGAAATGTGGATGAAATGCAACCAAAGAATAAATAATGGAGTCCCGCTCTGACCAGTGACATGTCACAAGCCGAGAAGAGCTTCATTCTTCTACTTCTGAATGCCTACAACTAACTCCCACCTCCCTCAAAGGTCACTGGAATCATTTCATCTACATCACTATGGTGTACTGAATAAGCACTGGAAAGTTAACACCAAAATGTGAAAATAGTTACCTAACCTGGGACTATCTGACATTAAAATGTTTCCTTTGTATTTAAAGTTAAAAACATGATGCTGCCGTTAGGATTGCTTCCCAGCTATTTGTATGTTCACATCAGATCCATTTGTAGAACCAGAGAACCTGACAATGCTTCTAGACAACAAAAATGGCCTCTTTTCTTCAGGTGGCCATCAGCAAATTACTTCAAGACAAGAGTAAGGACTTTTCAGATGCCCAGATGTTATACAACCAACTCAAGCAGCCAAATTTTAGTATTTTATGTTTTATGGTCTAAATGTTCACTCCTTTCAACATCTCAGCTCCATTTTCTGTCCTGCACACCTACCCTCTAGGTCTTCTTCCTTTCCAAATAGTTTCTTCACATACTTTTGCAGGTGCTTCCTATTTTCAGAACCTAAGATATGCTCCCTTCTTCTCCTCTGTGGCAGCATCTGGTCCATACCACTTCATAAGCAGTAATAGTTATCTCAAGTCCAGTGGAAATACTACCAGAAGCTCCCAAATCATGAGTTTCCCTATTATTCAGCTGCAAAAGATGGACAGGTGGTGGATTTTTCAGGGTGAACGAGGTTCATTTGAATTAGCATAAACTTCCAAGTGGTAAGTCAGAAAGATGCCAAACATGGTAATATTCCTTAACAGTCATGGTGAATGAGCCCAATGAGTTTGGTTGCTGGCAACATTTTCACTCACAGAACCTGACCTGGAATAACCAGTGTAGGGTAAATGGAAGTGATCAGGTTTTTCCTGCCACCCTGCCATTAGCAACAATAATTAACGCTTGTGGTCTTAGACTGCATGATGGCGGGCACCTGGAGGGCGTGTGGGCATGTGTTAAGTGGGAGAACCTGAGCCAAGAGACTGAATGTAAGCAGCAGAAGACGTGGTGGTGGAAGACCATGCAGCAGAGTGCAGTGGAGCCCAGGGGAAGAAACCTCCAGAGAAAGCCAGAGAGTCCAGGAGTTGGCTCGCTAGGGGCTAGGATGCCTGCCAGTCGCTCTGCTCCCCTTGCTCACTCTGCACCTGGTTGCCTACCTGCAAGTGGTATGGCAGGTCATTAAAACCTAAAAAGCAACTGAGGTCTCCAGGACTCCTCCTTTACCTGTCTGCCTGGATCATAGAAAACCTGCTCTGTGCCTCGCTGGCACAGCAAACACGCTGCTAGCAAAGCCACAAACCAAACACAATGTGTGACAGGTGACTCAATATAGAAAGCAGACACACAACTGGCATATCTTAGGGACCTAATTTAATGATCTTCTTAACATTATATAGCACAAATTAAGATTTCATATGGCTTCCTCAATATTTTTTACAGTACGTTTTAAAGATGGCCAAATACGTGTCCCAATAAGTAAAATCTGTGATACCTCACCTAGATGTCTGTGCAGCATAGAGTCCACAAAGCCAGGGAGAAGATTCCAGAGTTGGAGAAAGCTGGGGAAAGGGCCCATCTGCCTTGGCAAAGAGCTAATCGGCGGCACTTGGAGCCGTAGCATCCCTCCAGTGTTCCAGGCGAGGGCCCATGCTATCCACAGGGTCGAGCTCTCCACGGACACTGGTACCTCCTTTTCCAACTTGAGGCCTCTTCAGACCTTTTCTACTACTCCAAGTTCTGACCCTTCTCCTGCTTACCGGCTCCTGAGGAAAATGACCGGAAAGATCTACTCCCTTCTAGGTGTTCCTCAGAACATTCTGATTCATCATTCAGGAAGTATCAACTCAATCTCTGACCTGCCCCACCTCTGAAAAGAAGTCTCCAAGTCCAGTTTTTCCTCAGTGCAATAAGGAAGTAGCTGATAAAAACAGACCAAAAAAAAAAAAAAAAAAAAAAACAAGCACCCTGGAGAAATGAAAGGTGGGGCTTTTAACCTAGCTGTCTGGTTTTCCATAGATTCTAGAGGTAGGGCTGGTACGGGACCCTACTGATCTCACTCAGCCCCGCATGGATCTGTCCATAAGTCCCGCCTCCTCCCTCCCTCCTACCGAAGGGGAGGACCAGGAGTGTCTGAGAAACAAGGATGTTGGCTCCTGCATCTGAGAGCCTCAATACAAGATTAGGAGAGAGCCCAACTCTTCTATGTGTTGGAGTTAAAGGAAGTGAACATTGGCCTTCCTGGTGGCGTAGGGGTTAAGTCTCAGCACTGTTACTGCTACAGGTCTGAGTTGGATCCCTGGCCAGGGGACTGACCCACATGGTGCAGTGGGCTTCTCCTGTTTCCCCGCGCCTCCCCTCAGTGGTAGATATTCTGCTCCCCCCTCTGTCTCTGGTGAATCTTCACACCCCTGGCCTACATCCCAGCTCTTGTATGCATAAATAAATTTTTTAAAAAGAAAAAGGTAGTGAATGTTCAGGACTCTGTCTGGGGCCTGCAAGGACATGGAGGCGGAATGTGAAGGAATCCTCTACAGTGGTGTTTGTTGGGTCTTATTTTACATTCCAAGCACCAATGGGGTACATTTTAAGAGCTTTACAGTTTGAGGACCTGTACAGAACCTAAGGAACATTTAGACATGGGGAGTGATTATACGTGTGGCTGATATGATCAAAAAAGATAAACTCATGCCATACGCAGCAACGAGGTTGGAGCTGCCAAGTGAA